AACAGCTGTCCAGTACTCCCAGCTGGTTTTCCAGTGGTTCTCTAACTGATGTCAGCTCATGATGAAATATCCATGTTTTCCTAATTTACCTAATATTTGGTTTAATATTACATTTTTATGCATATATTATCACTCATAGGTTCTTTCGAACTGTAATCTATTGGTATTACTAATTGAATGTTGTTAAATTAGTAATTCTTATTGAGAAATAAAAACAAAAATTCAGCGAAGAAAATTCTCTGCTCGACAACTTCATTTTCATAAATGTATAATCGCATATATATAAATTAAAAAAGACAATAACAGCTTTATCCCTATAGACAGAAAAAGGAATCTAATCCATTCTGTATCAACACGGGTCCAGAGAATTTGTAGTGAAGATAGTGTTGACGATTAACTCAAACAACTGAAAGAAACCTTCATAGAAAACGGTTATGCATTACGCTTCGCCGAGGCCATTAGCAAATTACGTGGAAGAAATACAGAAAGTGATAAGATAGGGGTAACCCTGCGAGTGAGATACTTATAAATCGTTTGATGAGATCATTATTCAGAAAAACGTTCTTTGCTGCCACTTTAAGAATAACCACCTACTCTAACCGTCCACTGGTGCATCTCAATGTCAAGGAAATGTTACCTGGATTGTCTAATTCCATGTGTATTTATATGTTCACCTGCTCTTGTGGAGCTAGGTACATAGGACGTTCGTCGAGAGACATATCCCGCCGCATTCAAGGGGACCTCTCCCAGTTTGACTGAACAAAGGAGAACGTAGAGGTATTAATTCATCAATATCGCAACACATTGTAGATACTGACCATGCAGCATCTGACACATCGTTTAATATAGTCTACAAAGTTCGTTAGAGTTTGCCGAAAGGGATACGAGTGCATTTGCTTTGTATAGCAGAGGCTTTAGCAATAAATAACATCAAGATAGAACTTTGTGTACAAAACAATTTGTACGACCTCTTTCGTCAATATGGTCTTGATTTTGAATAAAGCAAGAACAACAGTGGTTTGTGGAGAATAATGGTCAACAGAAGACTGAGAACATCACTAGCTAGAGCCTATCCTGCAGCTAAGTTGGTTCCCGTCCATCAAACAACATGCTCTTTGGTGCAGTCAAAAGTCGATAGATACCCTTCTCATGTTAACTCCAACTGTGTATACAAATTTACGTGCATCTGCGAGAGCAGTTACATTGGAAGAACGGAAAGAAGGGCACACCTCCGATTTTCTGAACATATGCCAAAAAGCCTACGTCTCAAGGGAACAAACTCTTATAGTAGCACTATTACCAGACATCTTCTCGACACGGGTCATGAGGTAGAAATCGAGAAATCCTTTAAAATTATCAACAGACAAAGGACTTCCATTCTCCTCAAGTTTGTCGAAGCAATTTCTATCAAACGCTTGAAACCAGATTTATGTGTTCAGAAAGAAGCAGTTATTAATCTTTCCTTGCCCTGGTAACTGAATGTCTCTATTCTCTCATCTAAATACGAATTCTTTGTCTTTAACCTCACCCCCTTATATAATCTGTAATTTTGCTTGTCTCTTGTTTCTATGATTTGAGTTGAACTCAGTACATTGTTACCTAATTTATTAGTCACTCCTTTACCATTGTATGCATACATTTATTTTGTTTAAACTTGAACTGCCTGTGTAAAAACTATATAAGCGCAATTTTCTGAGCACTGTTCACTTATTATGGAACTTTTTGTCAACTGACAACATGTAAAATTTGCAAGTATGTTACAACTTTTCTGTACGTAAACCTCACAATTTCTTTAGGCTGTAAGCAGATGATGAGAAGCCAACGAAATAAACAATGATGGTACCATATTATTCTGCACAAACCACTGTTGTTCTTGCTTTATTCAAATTCATCAAGGGGAATAAATGCATGAAAGTTTTGATTTTACTATGTAATTCACATAATAACTTTTTATTCCCCTTCTTTATTCCATGTACCAATTTTGTTTTAATTCATTTCCCTTTATGCTTTCATATTCTAACATTTTATCTGGTCTACTACTTTAACAACATTTCACTCATCCATCCTAAGTTTCCATCATATTATATTAACATATTCACATTTCCGAATGTACTTTATTTTCCGATCATCTATTTTGCGCATCATCTATTGAACTGACCTCTATTTATTTATTTGTCTATCCATCTATCTAATGAATTGTGACTCATAGTCCTATAAACCAACACATCATCGCACTTTATTATTTCTACTCATTGTCAAACTTTAACACAGACACAAAAAAAAACTGATTATTACTGTCTATTGTAATTCAATGTATGTATATATATACGATTGTACAAATATGGAAATAAAATCGTCGAAAAAAAGAGAATTTTCTTCGCTGAATTCTTGTTTTAAATGTTATTATTACCTATAATTCTTTATAAAAAATTATATTTGTAAAATCTCAGCGAGATTGAAATGAGTAATTCCAACGTTTCGTTCGGCAATCTGGTCCGAACTTCTTCAGGGAAATTAAGCGAAATTAACATAACAGAGGTTTATATATAAAAGGAACATCACTTGTTTTTAAAAACTTTGTCCAACCATGAGTCATTCAACAAGTATCAACAAGTATAATAAACAAAATTGTATGAGCTGTGATCAAAATTTGACCTCGAACTTACAAATATTGGTCTACCTTTGTTAAACACCTTAAACAGTGTGTATGTGTGTGTGGGTAAACAATTGTAAAACATTTCTTAACATCTCCATAAGAAGATATGGACAGTCGAGAATTTTGACCAAGTATTAATAATTAGTGATAAATATCCATTTTTTTATTTATTAATCAGGATTTCCTATGCATCAGCTAACATCACGCTTTCATGTCCGTTCAAACTGTTAATATCTAGAATTTTATGATTAGACGTATTTTCAAAATTATGGTGTTTAGGATTAGAGTTTAGCAGAAGCACCATGCCAGACTTATTGCTTTGTCTTCTTTCTGAAGGTTGAGCTGCTTTATTAGACCTACTGGAGTTGTCAGGTGACTCGACAGCTACGGATTTAGGATATGCATTCTGTTGGAGACAACGGAGAGTGAAAACACGATGATTGTTCCAATTACACAGTTTCTTTGTTAATTTAATTCGATTGCAAAATAATTCAAATGAACTGTCGTCAAGATTTGACAGAATAGTTCTAAAATATTTGGGCGCCGAGTGAAACGTTAAGGAATGTTTTACAACTGTTTACCCACACACACACATATACACTCTGTTTAAAGTGTTTAACAAAGGTAGACCAATATTTGTAAGTTCGAGGTCAAATTTTGATCACAGCTCATAAAATGTTGTTTACTATACTTGTTGATACTTGTTGAATGACTCATGGTTGGACAAAGTTTTTAAAAGCAAGTGATGTTCCTTTTATGTATATAAACCTCTGTTATGTTAATTTCGATTAATTCCCCTGAAGATGTTCGGACCAGATTGCTGAACGAAACGTTGGAATTACTGATTTCAATCTCGCTGAGATTTTACAAATATAATTTTTAAAAAATGTCTACTTCTCACTCGGCGCCCAAATATTTTAGAACTATTCTGTCAAATCTTGACGACAGTTCATTTGAATATAATTCTTTAGTTTGAGTGTAGATTTCGGTCATGAATCAACATAAGTTGGAGAGATCAGTGAAAAAAAAACCAGAGAGCGCTGGACATCTGTTTCTTCTTATTTTGGAACTTCTCAGTGGATACTGTAGAAGGTATTGGTGACAATCGCGTTATATAACGAGTCAATAAATTTAGAATTGATGAGTCATTTTTGAATTCCAGCCCAAGTGATTGAATGTTCAAAGAGCTTGCTTGCTCTGGTATAACCTGAAGGTCCCGAGTTTAGTCCCTGGTAGGGTGATCGGTGTGTACTACCAAAGAGTCCCAGCATAGGACAAAACAGCTCTGGTTTTCAATGATCTCTTTAAACTGATGTTGATTCCCACGTCTCTACAAAAATCTGTAATCTAAATTCTTTAATTCTTATGGACACATAACTGCAGAACCTGATGAAGAGAAAGTTATCAAATATAATATTCTTTGTTCACTAGCCATAGTCTTTTAAGATCTTTAATAGGCGTCTTTTATCAATGCAGAGGAAGAAGAGCGTTTCTAAACGAAGAGTACAGAGAACACAATTGGTGGTAACTGGATGCTCATTTTGTCCTATTTTGCACTCGTCGACTGGATGTACCAATCAACAGAGACGGAGCATTTCAGTCCACGGTAAATTTCGAAACATCGTCAACACACAGCATAAGGAATCACTCAACGATATACAGGTGGGAATATTTTATGAGTAATGAACGAGTTCAACAGGCTTGTTTGTATGTGGGTGGTGCAGTGATATGACGTCCACCAACCATGCTTGTGGTGGTCGGGGGTTTGAATCACAGCCAATACCCTCCTAACTCTCGCTTAGCTGGTAGTAAGCCCTTTAAAATGGGAAGATTTGCCATGAGCTTAGCAATCCCACTCCACAAAAAATAACAATAGCTACCGCTACTGAAATCTCAGAAGCTTGAAGCCTTATGTTCCACTCAGAACTCAAGAAATGCGAAGAAGCAATTCATTACCTAACCTAGCCCGATGATGCATATACAGTGGTACAGGATATACAATTAATGATCCTTAAGATTATTATATCACCTCAGTAATGCTATGCACTAGCCATGTTGTAATAATTTTCACACTTCAGGGCCATTTCCCTTCGTTTAGGGGCAAGTTCATCATCAAAGGTGTACACTGTGAGACTTCGTTCAGATGGTGGAGTTCATTCAAATCATCAGAATTCTCTCTTTTGTTCTTAAAAAATTACCATTTAGGGTGTCAGTCATATATATATATATGTATATAACAAATTCAAGTGAATTTGACAAGGATATTTGTTAACATTCACAAGAAGGAAGGATACTAAATAAGAGACAAAGTACATTTAAACAGTATCAAAAAATAGGTACTCACTTCACCAAGTCGTATAACATCAATTGGGACAGGTGATTCAGGATAAATATTCTCTAAATACCAGCGGAAACTTTTACAATCCAGCCGTCGGCGAAGTTCTTTGCGTTCAGTAATATTTCCAAAATCAACTGACAAGGCAGCTATAAATTATATTAATAACAATAATAATAGTAATAATGAATACAAACTTGAGTAACGGATTGTCATCGACTAATCATGAAAAAGTTAGTACATAAAATGAAAGCTGGAAACAGAGTAGAAATCACCAAGAACTCAGTTACACCTGGAACAGAGTTTTCATGCACCTGATGCTATTATTATTATTATAGCTTTGGGTTCCGAGTGGAGTATAGGGATTCAACAATACATCTTCATTTAGTCCTATTCTCCACAGTCCTCCTTAACTGGATAAACGATTGTCCATAAGCTCTCATCTCCTCAACACACAATCGCCTCAATGTCACACGCTTCCTATTAGGATTCCACGTGGGCGCCTGACGTGTGATTATTATTATTGTTCCCTTGGGTTCCTAGTGGAACATAGGGATTCAACTGCACGCATCCACTTGCTCCTGTCTTCTTCTGTACTCTTCACCTGCATCCATTTTAGTCCATACTATTTCAACTCTTCTTCACACGATATCCTCCATGTCACCCTTCGACGTCCCATTCACCGCTTCCCTTTCGGGTTCCACTCGAGCTATGGCCTGACGCGCGATGTCACCCAACGGCCTCCTCAGCGAGTGTCCAATCCATCTCCACTTTCTCCTGCATATTTGTTGGGTGATTGGTTCTTGTTTGTTTTGTTTCTTCCCATGGTTTCTTGTTGGTGATTCTTAGTGATTCCAGCCATCTGATCCTCAGTATAGAGCCAGCGAAGACAGTTGTTGATAAAGGTCTGCAACAGGCTGTTGGAAATATTCTTTGTGACCCGCCGCCAAGTTTCTGATCAATCCGTATAGAAGAACTGACTCACTTGACGTTTGTATTGAGAATCCGAATTTTGTTGTTGATGCAGGCTGAGTGACGAAGATTTCCAGATTGGTTTCAGGTTGATGAATGTGTTTCTCGCCTTCCCGATTTGATATCCTCGTTAGTTCCTCCTGTAGTTGAGACAATGCTCCCTAGATAAGTGAATGAAGTAACCTTTTTCAAATCCCTGACGTGTGATGTCAATCAATATTCTCCTCAGAGTGTGTTAAATCCACCTGCACTTTCTTAGACGTATTTGTTGGCCAATAGGTTCTTGGTTGGTTCCTTCCCAGTAATTTCTTGTCGCTCATATTCTTTCTGACCATCTGATCTTCAGTATGTAACCAGTGGGGCAGCAGTTGACGAAAGTATCAAACCTGTTGGAAATGTTTCAGGTGACGCGCCAATTTTCTCTCCCATATAGAATACCTGACTTAACACTGGTGTTGAAAGTCTGAATCTTGTTCTTAATGATGATAAATGTCTATCTTGCCTTTCGGATCATGGTTTTGACATCCTCATCCGTGGCGCGTCTACTCGAAGTAATACTGACTAGATAAGTGAATGTGGTGACATCTTTCAAATTTCTTCCGTTGATGGTGACGTTGGTTTTCGAATTTATGTGACAATAGACATAAATCTTCCGAGAAGTACAGATCTTCTTCCAACATATTTCTGTGTTGTCACTCTCCACAGTCTCCCTATCATGACCCAGTTTGTAACAATCAGGAATATCATCGCTGATAATAGGCAGCCTTGTCTTACTTCCTTTATTAACTTCAACGGTTTCGTTGAGTTTTCCGTTGTGGATCACTTGACACTTGGCACTGTTATACAGCTGCTGAATAAAGTTGATAAAGATTTGGAGCAATAAGCTGAGTAGTGTTACAGTAGTTTCCAAATTACTTCGCGGTCAACACTGTCTAAAGCCTTTTCAAAGTAGATGAAGTTGAAGTAGAGATGCTATAAGCGATGTATATTGTGATGCACCAGCTGTCAAATGGTACAATGTAAGCCAACTGCGCACATGGTCCCAGTTCGCTTTCCGATCAATCCACTCCTAACCGGCAGTAAGCCTGGTAAAGAGGGGAGGTTGACAGTGACACTAGTAACCCTGTCCCATAAAACCAAAAAACAAAACAAAACGAACGCCACTACTGAAACTTCAAAGCTGAAGTCTGAAGCCTTATACAACCCGAATTCTAGACGCAAAGTAGTGGAAAAAACATTGTGTTAAGAGCTCATCCAAACGCGGACTAGTCAAGACTCTGTACTATAGAGCGAGGAGAATATGCTCTATAGAGAAATTAGAGGAAGAATCTGATTTTCTTGAAAAGATATTGAAGAGCAATGGGTACCCTCAAAGGTTCATCAACAAGTATGGAAGATCTGAAGTCACAAATGTAAAACAAATCACAGTGGGTAAAAAGCCAATCTACATTCAGCTTGATTATAAAGAGGTGAAAACATTGCAGCGATGATCAACAGAAGGCTGAGCACATCACTAGCCATAGCCTATCCTGCAGCTAAGCTCATCCCTGTCTATCGAACAACTTGCTCTTTGGTGCAATCAAAAATCGATAGATATCCTTCTCATGTTAACTCCAACTGTGTATACAAGTTTACGTGAATCTGCGGGAGCAGTTACATTGAAAGAACAGAAACAAGAAGGGCATATCTACGATTTTCGGAACATGTACCAAAAACCTTACGTCTAAAGGGAACAAATGCTTTAAACAGTGCCATCGCCAGCCATCTCCTCGACACGGGTCATGAGGTGGACGTCGAAAAGTCGTTCGAAATCATCAATAGGTAAAAGAGCTCAATTGTCCTCAAGTTTGCTGAAGCCATTTCCATCAAGCGCCTGAAACCTGATTTGTGCGTTCAGAAAGAAGCGGTTATCAGTCTTTCTTTGCCCTGGTAACTGGATATTTTTCATCTGAATGCGAGATGCTGAAAAGTTTTCACTGTGTATGATCATTATTGTTCGGAATAGTGTTTAATACTACACATATATATGTATATATTATTACTGTATGTATATATTGATCGATTGATTTTTGTTTAAAATGAACTCTGTGCAAGTATGTTAAAATTGTTTTTGTAGATACACTTAATAATGTCTTTGCCCTGTAAGCAGCTGACGAGATGGCAATGAAATAAAAGATGATACCACTATATTCTCTTAAAACTGTAGTTCTTGCTTTGTTGAAACTGAGCTGGCTGGAGCGGATTACAACCGTGGATCTAGTGTTAGTTAAAAACTGAGTCCTCAAGGCAGTTAGCCACATTTCTTCACCCCGAAATAAGACAATAGGGCGACAACAAAAAAAAAAGATTGTCCAAAAAGCAAAATTATCGTGCAAATAACTGCCTTTATAGAACCTTAAACAACAAATAACAACACAATGAGAATCGCTTTTTTCAGAATATAGAACACAGATGGATTCATTTTTTATCATTTCATAAGGTTCTTGTTTATTTTCGTCAGCTGTTGTAGAAAATAAACAATTCATTAAATCATCATTGCTGTGCTGTGAAATAATTTATTTATTCAGGTTGTACACACAGCTGAGGAATATATAAATAAATGGAATGAACTGACCTCAAACATGAGAAAAATAAAGGTTTGTTTTAGTTGAGTTATTCGACAAATAATAATTGGCAAAACAGGAGTTAACTCCATTATGGATAAGATTTTATTTTGATAAATCACACAGTGTCTTTATACACTAATATTAACTGATGACCACGTTTTGAGCATAAACTATTGCCACTCATAATCATATCAAGTTACTCACACAACTTCTTCCCTTCATTTATATACATGTGTGGAATCGATTAGATATTGGAATAAAATTCAATATGAGGTAATGTACATTCGGAAATGTGCGTAGGTGGTATAGCGGTCAGGACGCTCGCCGACCATGCACATGGTCCGGGGTTCGATCCCCAGCCGACGAACTCCTTTACTTCGCTAAGCCAGAAATAATGCTGGTGAAGAGGAAAGGTTGGGCATGAGGCTAGCAACCCTATCCTGTAAAATAAGCACTGCTACAGAAACTTCAAGCCACTAGCTTGAAGCCTTATGTTCCACTGGGGAACGTGAAGGAAGAAAACATTCAGAAATAATAATACGAGTGTTACTGATCAATTACAATTAGATGGGAAATAAGACGAGTGTTTCTATAGTCATAACAAGTTCCTTGTTCGAATGTTTTGATGTGTTTGAATTGAAATAGAATTTTATGATTATATATTATCCTACCCTGATTTGACCGGCGCTAATAATATCTTCCATATTTCTGGTATTTGCATTGAGTCATTTGTGTTGCATGTATCGGGTGTAGACTCAATGAACAAGGATTCGGTAATCAACCTCTCTCTCCACCTACCTATGTTACTCTTTAGAATTTTAACCCTCTCCCACCCTATTGTGTGGTTGTTTGTTAATGCGTGAAGTGCAATAGCTGAGCTTTTTTCTAAATTACTTATCTTTTCAGGGTCAATCATTTTCCCTTTAGCTAAATTCTTATGTTCTGACAATCTGACTACCCGCCATCTACTAGTTTGACCTATGTAGTTGACCTCACAGTCATTGTAGGGTATTTTGTAAATTATATTATTTCGTCTATTTGGCTCGTTTTGTTAGACACTTAACTAAGCCTGCCTTAACAGTTAAATGATGAGACGAATTGATAACACTCGTAATATTATTTCTGAATGTACATTATCTCATATTGAATTTTATTCCAATATCTAATCGATTCCACACATGTATATAAATGAAGGAAAGAAGTTGTGTGAGTGAATGACTTGATATGATTATGAGTGGCAATAGTTTGTGATCGAAACGTGGTCATCAGTTAATATTACTGTACAACACTGTGTGATTGATCAAAATAAAATCTTATCCATAATAGAGTTATGCTCTACCTCAGTGCCCAAGTTCCATACTTATATCAAAACAGGAGTTATTTGAATAAGTTTACTTGAACTTTACACAGAGATGATGCATCACCGTCGATACAGAGCTTAAAATGACAGTCAACTATCTATTAAAACTTCAAAGACTTTGAAAAGGCATTCTATAGCATCGAGACTGTGAGATAGCTTGGAAAATGATTCAACATTATAGAGTACAGTGCCGCAAAAATGTATAAAACCT